AAAAAGTGTTTGTTTAAACTGTGATGCCCGAAACACACCTTCTTCAACTCATACCTTCAAGGTCTTAAGAGCTAACCAAAGCATGTTTTTATTAGGTACAAAGGGGACACTAAAAAATACTTTCTACATACGTTTGAACACCGGTAATGAACATTTTGACATCTAAATTGGGGTTTAATAATTTATATTAATTTTAGTATCTGAACGTAATGTCTGCAACATGGAATCACCCCTAAAGGAGCTTTGTCTTCTTAGATTTGATTAGCTTTTTGTAGTTTTTTTTGCGGGTTGTGTGATAGTTATGCCTTATAGTTTCATCAAGAGGAAATTGCTATGTTAACTTTCTTGTTAGAGAGTTCCGTTAAAATCTTTCTCCAAGCAAAACACTCATTATTGAACCATCTTTCTTAATGTTTCTTTTTGTTGCTTTCTTCTGGCCTGTTTAGTTTCAGTGTAGATTGTCGATATCAGATATAACCCCCCAAACTGAAAACAGACCATTGCCAAAAAACAGATCTACCTGTCCTTCCCCTCTGCACAAACAATGCGCTGCCGCCCGCCTGACAAGCCTCCCTGATTACTTTGCGACGCGCGAAAGGACTTAAGGAACCTGCGGCCTCGACCTCAACAGTTTGCCGTCTCCAACCGGCCAGTGGTCTCTGAACGACAGCCCGTCAAAGTTGCAACTTCCCATTTGTCTCTCGTGGTACAACTTGAGAGCATTTGTTCAACTTTCCTCAAAAAGATCATTCCATTACTTCTCACTACCTCTTCTCTTGACTGCCTATTGACATTGTCAGCAGAAATTTTGTGTTGTTGAAAATCTCAATAATGATAATGATAATGATAAATAAATAATATTTAATAAATCACTCCAATTATAGTTTAAAAAACATTTCGGAGGTGGTCTTGTAGATGACGATGAGGCCCGGTACTCTCAAGAAATGTTAGGACCTCTCTAATTCTGTAGCAATTTATTGACCACAATTTGTGTTAGTCTTAGAACTAGGCATTTCCTTCATGAATGTGTTTTTCCTTGACAACGTAGAATATCTTGTGAGGATCTTTGTAAGGTATCACGCTCAAGAGGGTGACTTTGTGGTCAAGTTACCTTATGTTAACTTAATAATTACTTTTGTTGATCCTCTCACAGCTCACATCCACTTTAGCCTGGTTCAAATGAAGTTGATCAGATTGCTATAGTCATTGCTGTTCTTGATGTTGGAAGTTACATAGGTGAGTGAGTATACAACCATGTTCATGACAGTACATTACGCGCAAGAGGGTCCTAGGTTCATGGGGCTACCAACACAACAGTCCGCCGTTCGCTCTTGACCTGCGGTAAAGAAATGACGGCCATTAGAAAATTTTAACTCCGTGAATAATTATCAAATCAACCCTTGACATTAATTGGTCATTTGGAGCCGTGTGTACGCAACATTTCAGGAAATTTATAATCAATTGGATTAGTTGTTATATGCTCGAAAAGTATAGGAATTCAGTGTGTAGCTTCAGATTCAGGTCTTAGCAACTTTCATAGTTTAAATCTGTGTCAACAAATAAGCAAAATTCTCTCTTTTCTTCAGTTGCCACAGGGTTAGATGCGACTGCCGCTGCTGTTGTTGTGAGTTGTGCTCTAGCTGTCAAGTGCATCGATCAAGGATGGATCAGGGATAAAGGGCGAATTTGACAACCACCAAAACAACAATGAGTATTATTTTTTAAGTACAATTTGTGATGTAATATGTCGTGAACTATGTGAAATTTTAGTGCAAATTTACATTTTATCTGTCTTTAAGTCAGACTGAACGACAAAAATGATAATTTTAGTAGCTAAATCAGTTTTGGGAAAAAAATATAATCTCCTCACTACTGAAAGGGTTTTTTTTCTCACAACATTTACTTGAGATGTGACGAAATTAATGTGGAAATTATTTTAAGGATTCATTATAGCAGAAAAAAAAATCTGACTGGTATTGCTTCACACTAGGTCAGCAGGAGATTATATAATATTCTAATAGAACATAAATAAAGTAAATGATCATTTCACAGCTTCAAGTTTAGACAAGTAACTACAGGAAAAATTGACATAGCCACAGTCAGCAACACTGATAAGAAAAGTGAATGATAACAAATGTGTTTCCCAAAATGTAATGTCTGCGACATTTTTCAGTTATGTCTGCTACGCAAACTTTTGTTTGTAGAATCATTGGAATAAGGTTGCGTGGAATTTGTTTTGGACAGTTGAAAAATTTAATTATTACCATGGTTTGAAGGCATTCCACGGCTTCTTCTGAATTTATATCATGCACTTGTTAGTCCTTATTTAAGGTCTCGGTAAAGGAAAACGAGGTGCCCACAGGCTACAAAGGCAAGTTATATATCAAATTAAAGCTAAAAGACTAAATTACCTTATGAAAGATTTTATTTCATCCAATTTCAAAAGGCGCTTAAGTTTTTTGCTCTCGAACTCAGAGGTATCGAGTTTACTGCTGAAGCTCCAGCCCTTTCGCGTTGTTAAATATTCACTTCCTTTTTATTGTATCTGATTGACAGATAAAAGACCTAAAAAAGGGTGTGAGGAAATTTGCATATGTCTAGTATTAGCGGAATTATTGCATTTCAGACTAAAAAGTCGAATCTCGAGCGTGATTTACGCAAAGAAACTGACATAAAATGAGTTACAAAGGGAAATCGGAAAATTCCTCACAGTCTTCCTTTACAGTCTTTTTTCTTTCAACAACCAAGCTATTTCTTGTATGACGTCCACGCTAAGACAGCTCCAAAAGTCCCCTCAATAAGTTTGCGAAACTCAGCACAAAACATCACTTTAAAACGCGATTATCTGCCAAGGAGTGTTTCTCTATTTCTCTACAACCTAGAAAATGAACCATTGTAATTTTAGTCTATTTTTTCTAATAACAAAACCCCTATGCTTGAGTTTGTGTGAGGGGTTTTTCTTTTGCTTTTCCTTTTTTCTTAATATGTCATTTAATAACGCCTTTATTTATAATGTTTGTTCTGCCTAGATTAGCACTATGGCTACTTGCAGGGCATAAAATATTGTAAGCTTATGGATCTTAAATAAAATACATTGTTGTTGGTGATCATGAAAAAGGTACCGTTTATTGTAACGGTAAACTCGTAGAAAGTGAAAAATTTCTGTGTAACAGGGGCACCCAACGAGAATATAGTTCAAAACCACTTAAACATAGCATTGTTAAACGTGTTTTAGTATTTAAACGGTGGATATAGGCATATTTTTATCCCCTATAAATTTTCCATCTGTTCGGATTTCCTAGCTGAAAGTCTAGTGATCCGAAAATTTTAGGGATCAAAACTTACCTGTTTAAAAATTTCAGCCAGAAAAAAGCCTCCCGAAAATTCTAGGTGACCTTTTTAGGGTAAAAATCCGTTGAAAATGGGCAATTTTACCATTTTTTAGATGTTCGAAAATCCTAAGAGGCAGGCAAGCAAGAAATTTTACAACAAATGTTCCGAAAATTCTAGACCTCAAATCGTCTTCCGAACAGATATTTTTCCGAAAATTGTCGTTGGGTGCCCCTCGTGTAACTCGATGTAAAAGCAGTCTAGAAGTGTTGAGACTACCAAGAATGTCTTCATCGCTTGAAAAATTTAAAAAGGGTATTTTCCGCGATGTTTACATTCTGCGGGTTCCCCACCCCGTCATACCCCCTCTTGAGCCAATCAAAGAGCGCTTTCTGCGACATGTACCGCGGACCAAATATCGCTGTCACTACAATATGGCTGCTAGCTTCCTGGTAATTTCTACTCTTTCAATTATTGAAATCATGCTCCTGGAACGAAATGTAGACTCATTCACAGATTTGAATCAAGCCTTCTTTTGTGCGAGGAAGTTTTTGAACTGAATGAATGGAATCGGAACCGGAATTGATGCAATTCCCAATGGTAAGAGCTGTAAATTTCCGCTTCACGGAGCGTTATCAAATGGCACTACATTGTATCACTTTAATAAGACGGTTATTGGCAGCTCGAGATCTAACTACCTTTACAATCATTGCTAGCTTTTACACTGTCGAATTAATATTATACAGGAACATGTGCAGCCATTTTGAAACCGGTATTTTGTTCGTAGGGACCAGGTAATGAAATTGACGCCCGTAAATTAATCCTTCCGGAATGATTTTCAAGCGGTATTCAGTCTGGAAGGGGTGAATACCACCCAGAAATAACCCTGACTATGACCTGAAACTAAAACTTTGATCTATGCGGGTTTTTACGTGCATAAAACTTGTCCAACGCTGACCGCCAACATTATAGTTTCTCAGCCATGATTTCAAACGGGGAAAGATTTTATGGACCCCCGAAGATAAACCAACACAATGTTAACGTAAAACTTTGAGTGGAATTTATTACCTCATTTTCAGTATCTGACACTTGTTAACAGTGGTAAGGTAGGTGGA